TATAAATGCAATTTAGAAATTGTTTCACAGAAATTCACTCTACAAACGTATAATACAGGGTTTTTTTTATAATTTAGAAAGTATTTTCTTGTGAAACTTTTTCTTTCTTTATATAAGATTTATTTAATATAAACCTTTGTACATTTAAGGAAGACAAATTTGTTAAAGCAGTTACATCCAATGGTTATCGTGAGCCATCTGGAAAATATGATAATTTTATAAAATCATGTAATTTTGCAAATATAGCAACAAAAAGCGAAGCAGCTATGTATTTAGCCACGCTTTTACACGAATCTGCCGGTCTAAGCGTAACAGAAGAGATGTACAATCCGGTATCTATCAATGAATATGGTAGATACATTGGTCGTGGTTATATTCAGCTTAGCTCAGAAGCCAACTATAAAGCTGCATGGAATGAATTACGTGAATATTATATACAGCATCCAGAAGAAGTTAATCATATAAAGAATCTAGAAGAAGTTAATTTTGTAAAGCATCCAGAAAACGTTAGTCGTGATCCTCATGCGTGGAATGTTTCAGCATGGTATTGGAAAAATCAAGTACAACAACATGTAAATGCTGGATTTAGAGCAACAGTAACAAAGGGAGTTAGACCGTTAGAACCACATATGGATAGCAGAGTAACGATTTATGAAAAGGTTTGTCTAGCATTTGACGTTTCTCAACACCTATAATAAATATACAAAAGACCGTGCTGTTTATCTCTTACTAATTTTTTTTGCATGAATAATTTATTTAATATTTGTGTTGTAAAGTTATGAATAATGTAAACAAGATAATATATAGCTGTGAAAAAAATTTTATTTCTTCAAATTTATAATCTCGAATAAAAAATATGTGAATAATTTCAATTTATGAAGTTTATTGAACAAAAATATACTATGAATATCTTGAGTGTGAGTATGTGGGTGTGGATGAAAAAAGACATTTTGTATATGATGACTTTTTTCTTAAGTAATATATGTACATGAGTAGCAGTTATTTTTTCCCATGAAAGTTTATACCTCACATGTTCAACAATCGACCATTTCAATATCATGATTATAGTTTAATATATAGAACACATGATAATCTTCAATACTATATTATACAAGTTCATCGTTATGATATTTATGCAAAACTTCCTGTTAATGATGTATATCAATAAAACAATTTATTACTATTTAACATGTCGGAATAAATTTTCACAGATTCGTGCTATTGTGAATGTCATCATGACGATAATTATTATACGAATTCATTTGATATTAAAGCAATAAAAAATGCTATAATAGAAGATGAATAAGAAATTGAAAATAAACAAGAATTAGAATCAAATGATTGTATTCCAATCGAAATATATAATACCAATAAAGATAAAAAAATAGTTGTTAAATAATTCAGATTATGATACACTACAACGATTTTATAGAAGATAAACACGAATATGAATTATATACTCGGTTTAGTCAAAATATTTATGATATAGTAGCGGATTTACGAGGCTGAATACGATCGGATCCATTCCTTAAAAATCGTCTCCCATCATAAAAATTCTAGATCCACCACTGTGATGATGGTAATGAAAATTAAAACTTTATATATGACATACAACAATTGTTTTGGTTTTCTTAATATCTGCAAAATGTTTGTATTATTTTGTGTAAAAAACTATTTTAATTTTATAATTGAGCTGACAAGAAAAGAGCGATGTGCATATTAATATTATGAGTCATTGAAAGAACAGAAAGAAAAGAAAAATGCTTTGTCATCGTTGCCGAGCATCAAGGGTATATATATAGCGAGAGAGTATATGAGTATCAATTGTTTATAACATACTAATAATGGCAGACACTAAAAATCCTATAACAAATGTGAAAGGTGAATTTATTCGTGGGGGTAAGAATTATATTTCTGGTGTAATTGTGTTTTCATTCATATTCTTCTATATTATTTAGTGACAGCTTTTCGTAATTGGATTAAAGATGAACCTTCAGCTGAATATCAACCTGAAGCCAATCGTTATCATTTATATGTTGCATTAGCTTGTCCTTGGGTAAATATAAATTTTTTTATTAAAATTTAATTCTGTTTTCTTTATTATTTAAGGCTCATCGAACACTTGTTTTACTTAAATTAAAAGGACTCGATCATGTTATATCATATTCAACTGTTGATACTTTACTTGAATTCGAAAAAGGTTGTGGTTGGGCATTTGGAGAAAAATATCCTGATCCACATCATCCAACATTCACTCATCTGAAAGATGTTTACAAATTAAATGAATCAGATTATAATGGACGTGTTACCGTGCCTGTTCTTTTCGATCTTAAAGTACGTTGAATAGTTAAAAAATTTTGTATATAATTGAGATAAAATATGAGTCATTGAGAACAAATAGCGAATGAAATAGAAGGTTTATATGACGTTGTCGTCTCACAAAAATATTTAAAAGTTCGTTCAAGATATTTTCGATAAACTTCGTATAGAAAATATTTACTGATAAATCGTGATTTAGTTTAATAGTTTTTATACATATTTGAATTATTTTAGACTCAAAAAATAGTTAATAATGAATCATCGGAAATCATTCGTATGCTCAATTCTGAATTCAATAAATTAGCACGTCATCCAGATTTAGATTTATATCCTGAATCTTTACGTTCACGTATTGATGAACTTAATGAACAAGTATATCCAAAATTAAATAATGGAGTTTATCGAGCTGGTTTTGCTAAATCTCAAGAAGCTTATAATAATGCATATGAAGATGTTTTTTCTATGTTAGATATACTTGAAAATATACTTTCTAAACAACGTTATCTTATTGATAATAAACAAATAACTGAAGCTGATGTACGTGCATGGACAACATTGTTAAGATTTGATCCAGTTTATGTTACACATTTTAAATGTAATAAAAAAATGATTTCAAAAGATTATCCAAATTTATTTGGATTTGTACGTGAAATTTATCAAATTGATGATATTAAAGAAACAGTTAATTTAGACGAAATTAAGAAACATTATTTTGCTTCACATTTAATGATTAATCCAACTGGAATTATACCACGTGGACCAGAGATTAATTATGATTTACCACATGGAAGAGATCATCTACAACAAAAATAATTGTTATTTACAATTAACTTTATCCATGATGCTTTGATTTCATTAGAGATTCAAAATATATGTAATGTAATGCTTATGTCACAATATTTAATTATAAAAAATGAATAAAAAATTTATAACATATCTTTAGCAATAGTTAAATATGTTTGATAACTATTTTTTACGACTATTATATCTATGCCTAGTGTCAATTGGTTTATGTAGATGAACAAAAAAAATGTTATTGATATAATACGATATATTCTACATTTATAATTCTCTTTCAGGATACATTCAATAGATTTTTGCATTTTATCATAAAAACGCTTTGAATAATCTTTAAAATTTATTCTACAATATCTATTCTATTGTATAGTATAATACAACGATTAATTTATCACTTTGTTTGTATTGTCTGTGTCTGATAACTAATGAAGTTTATTATAAGATACTACTTTCGTCATATTTAAAACTAGTTGATATAGCTTCAGTGGTCTTACTTAATTTACTTTAATACTGAACATGGTTTAGAACAGTTAATTAATTCTGACACAATCATCCGGGATTGGTATGAATACCATTAGAAAATGAATTGCCTGACATTTTACATAGTTCTACTTTTAAAACAGCTGTACATCTATAAGATTGGTCGATAATATTAGTGCATTCATCATAATATAGACTACGACAATGAAACTGATATATCATTGTTTCATACGATGCGATGATATCAGTATTAGTTTTTTGTATTTAATATTTAGATTTTCCAGTGATAATAGAGTTAATGATTATATATTTATGGTGAAAAGATTTTAAATTACCATTTAATTTTCTATCGATTGTCATTGTATTATATTCTGAGCATAAAACTTCGGGTCATTCTCTATAATCAATTATCTTATGCAATAATGTGCATCTATCGCTCAATTTCATACCTTCTTTTTTCTCTTTTCCATTAGTATTTTTAGGTTCACATAAAATGTAGAAAAAAAAAGGGTCATTTGTTTCATTCTTTTCTTCCATTGTCATTATACATTAACATTTACTTCAAAATCGTATTCGTTACAGCTGCTACTCACTCTCTCTTATTTTAGCTTCATCTTCTTTTATTCAAGGCATCCATCGATCAAATGTCGACAGCAATGAATAAGAATAGTCAACATGCAAAATCTACTGTTGGTTTATTATTAGTAATTGGAGATATTACTTCAAATGAACAACGTGATGAAATATGTTTTTATCTTAGAAATGCATTTAAACATATTGATATTAATAAATATCATGAAATACATGATTTATTTAATAATTTAATTCATGAAAATCAATTTCAAATAGGTTTTTATAAATAATAAATTTTCTTAATTTAAAAAAATTATTCTTTCATATAGATTCTCAATATCGACAAATAGCTAATACAGAAAATGGTTCAATTGCAGGATTTCTTTATCTACCAAGTTTTCATACATTATTAAATGTATTCAGAGATTTATTCAATACTTGTTATCATGTTTGTATTCTCTTTTGTGGTAAAAATTCTTCTTTTTTTGTTTCTGTTGACTTGTTTTTATTTCATATAGGACAACAAATTGATTCTAATGGAGCTCTGATTTTATCTGATTCATTATTTACTTCAGAGAATTTTCATAGTTTATTCGAAGAAAATACATCGTATGTTATACAAGATCTTGAAATAAGTTTACCATATGTATCAAATCAATGGATGAAATTATCTACGAATTATTTACAAAAACAATTAGAAAATGTTCAAATATATGATTTATCTAATGAGATAAATGAAGAAAATTCTTTTGGACAACGATTCTATGAAAGATTACTTCATGTTTTAAATAATGATTTTGATATTTATAGTAAATTAATTCCAAGAAATAATTCAGGAACAAGTAAAATATAAACAGAAAATAAAAATAATTGAAAATTATTATTTTAGTTGCTTTTGATGAACCTAATCTTTATATATTATATGGTCAACAGGGTGAAGCATCATTATTTGGCGTTCGAGGATTTGTTGTATTAGTCAATGGTGGATTTAGGTAAATTTTTTTTGAAGAAAAAAATTTATTTTACTTCTTTTTTTTAGTCGAATTCCATCTTATTGGAATTTAATTCGAGGTTTACAAAATATTGATGCATGTATTTTAACACATTTTGATTATGATGTATTTCCGGGTTTACAAACAATTCTTCATCGAAAAACAATTCTATCGTCATCGAACGATCAATTATGTAAACCAGATATTGGTGCTTTTTTTCTTAATCATACTCAACGAACAAAAATACAATCAATACCTACATCGAAATCATCATCATCAACTAATAAATTAGTTGTAAATTTAAATGAAAATATCGATGAATTTTTACATAATATTAAACAATTAAATATTAATACATTTAATTTAATTAAACATACAACATCTAATAAACAAAATATTGAACCAATTAGTTTGTATAAAAAAATTGCATTTGGTTCACTGGATCTTTATGTTTTACATCCAACGACATTTACAACTGATGATGATAAACTTATTGCATCTTTACAAAAAGTAATCATAAAAGATTCTGAATTTTTAAACATTAATTTGAAAATTATTTTTAGATTCCCATTCATAATAAACAAGTATCTTCATCAATGATTCCACTTCATCATTGGTATTCATCATGTTCATTACTCGTTTGGACTCCGACTTCGAAATCAAGCAAAGATACTATTGTACGCATTTTATATACAGGTGCTTGTCCACAAACACTTGTCTTTGAAGCATTGAATAGAGTTCGACATTTGGAGTTTTTACATGATTTCCAACCACAACGACAAACAGTTCGAACAAATAATATTAAAACAGCATCAACTTTACATCTCAATACAGGTATTAAACATTCACCACCGAAATCTAAAATTTCTCCACCAGTCGTGAGTCGAGTGGCATCGCCAGCAATTCAAAATAAAACAACAAAAGATTCACCGCGTCCTCCTGTTTCGAAGCCGAAAGTTTCACAAACGACAACTGTAAAAACAGAAAAACCTCGATCAGTATCAAGTACAAAAAAAGTAATCTATTTTGTTAATATATTATTAATACGTAACTATTATTTTTTTATTAGCAGACAACTCTTGCGGCAACATCTAATGCGAAACGGTCGATTAGTAAAGATAAAAAGGTTAAAAATCCTACGGATATTGTTCCAAAAATTCCCAGTAAACCCAAACAAGTGAAGAATCCTGTTTCGAAATTAAAACCCGACAATAATCAGAAACAAAAATTAAAAGTTCAAGATCAACCTAAGAAAATATCTGGTGGTATTATGTCGATTAATAATGAACAAAAGTTAGAAACTCCAAGTAAACTTGCAGACGAATCAGAAACTAATAATGATCATCAAGAAAAACATGAAGAACAAAATAATGATGAACAAATATTACAAAGTCAGAATGAACAACAAGAAGATTTAATAAACGAAAAAGAATACCAACCAGATGTTGAAACAGAAACTGATGATGAACATTTATTAGAAAGTCAAACTAATGAATATGAACAATCGGATGATAATGAACAACAACTATCAGCTGATGAATTGGATGAATCTAATGAACAATTATTAGATAATCATGAAAATGAAATTCATCGACCAGAATCTGTTTCGTTAATAATGGATCATAATGAGTCATTAATTGAAAGTACTTCTGTTTCACCTATAGATGAAAGTACATCGCAATTAACTTCACAGGATCCAATGACAAGAAGTTTTATTGACGGAGGATCGGACACAGAAAATCCATTTACTGAAAAAGTTGATGATGATACTTATGTTGATGATGAAATGGAAATTATTCACCATAATCCATCAGGATCAGCTAAAAATTCTGTATCATCCATTGAAGATATTAATCCACAAGGTTTACCTATCGAAAAAGAAATGTCTGCAACAAAATCAACAGTTAAAAAGCTAAATAAAGAACCTAATCGGTAAAATTATTCATTGAAAAAATTAACTAATTCTTCATTCGAACATTTCCTATTTAGAACGAATAATTCTAATCAAGCATCATCACATCAATCAGGTTCAATATTCAATGTTGATGTTGCATATATTCCATATCATGGTAATGAATCTTATGTTGATAGTGAATTTTTTCGTCGTATACGTGCTCGTTATTATATTTTAAATGCTGTACAAGTAAGTCGTATTACACTTGAATCATTAATTGATGGAAAACAGCAATGGAATACAAAAGAGCACGTACCTGTAAATATCAGTTCTCTTTTTCTTTTTTTCAATAATATATCGTATTAATTTCATTAAAGGTTACTCTTGTACCAACATTTGATGGTGAACAATTACGACAATTTTTTATTACTAATAAGAATCGTCTAGCTGAACTTAACATTAATATTCTTCCAGCTTCGACACGATGTAATGTGCAATATGATAATGAAAGTTCACCAGCACAACTCTTACGTTTTCATTCCATGTATCATGCCGATGAATAATAATGATTTTTTCTTCCTCTATAAAAATTTATTTCTATGGAATTATATTATTTGTTTTGACTAGACATCATTCATTTCATGGATTTTACAAAAAAAAAGCAATCGAGTATCTCATATATTAGTCACGTTTTTTATATTTACTGGCATTTTTATTCTTTTCTGTTTCTTTTTGATGTATTGAGTTCATAGACAATAAATGTTTAGATTGTTTTTGTTTAAAAAAAAGGTAAGTTAGATATTTTATCATGTATAAAACAGAAGTATCATTCATATCATACTTTCAATTACAAAATTTAGTCATAAAACATCATCATCACTATAGTATAGTATACAACACTTAGTAAGAATACGATTCCATCTATTTTCAATTTATATCATGAAATTAATTAGATACAGCAAATCAACTTAATTCCGTACTCAAGGTGTGAGTTATGTTCTTTTTTAACAATTGAAACTTCTCTACTATTTTATTTGTTTTAATCCAGAAAAGAAAAATGTGCTTAAAAAAGGCTTATCGGTGTTTCATATAATGTTACGCTATGTCTCTACTTGTCTTGATTTTGTCATGCAATCATTTTTTTTTAATATTGCCCGACGTTAACATTTATTTCGAGGCTGTGTTCAAATAGTTACATATATGCATTTCTAGCGGGTGACAGAACTCAAAAAAAATCAGCTACTTGATGCTATAGTATATAGAATAGAGAGAAGTTTCCTTCAGTATTCTCTATTGGCGCAAGCAAAAAATAATGAAGTAAGTAGTCTTGATTTACTGAAAAATAAATAAAACTTGAATTCATACATTGTAAGTCAAAGAATGAATCAATCTATATTATTATTCTTAAGAAAATATCGATATGTAGAGATGAGAGAAAATTCAATAGGTATTGAGATTTTGAAGCTGTTATAATTCGTTTTTTCCGTAAAAGACTTTTATGAGATTGCAGTGTAGTTATTTATGTAGCATGCATTATTAGTCGTTTTTTGAATAAAATAGACATTAACTATTTCCATTACAAATATGAATCAAATTTGTATCCTTTAAAACAATTTTATACTTCATCTGATATATTAAGTTACCGTGTTGTTTTTTGGATTGATATCCGAACGGTATGACAGTCATCGCATAATCATAGTTAGTTTTTATAGGTAGAAAGAGAGAAGAAAAAGTAATATAATGTGAAAAGAATTTTAAAGAAAAAAAATGCAAATTTCCTTTTGTTATGTGACTTTTTATTGTCACTTACATATAAAAAAAGAGAGAAAACAACCTTGGCTAATTGTTCGAATCGATATGAATGATAACCTGTAATCGGATAATAAGAACAAGAGAAAGAAATCAACGAATAAAATGTACTAAAAGAAACCAGTCTGTACATGTATCAAAAGATATAAATATATATATAAAAGTACATCTTTGACACGTTATTTTTAATATATTCGAATCACTGCGAGTGGATTAATATTTAACTTCAGAATTTGTGAGGTAAAACAATTAGACTTCAAGCAATTTGAAGACTCTCGACACCGAACTAATAAAGAGCATTAGGAACATTTTTGAAATATCAAGTATCAAGTATTGTTTCGTTTTTCATCATGCAGTATCTTGTTATAAATTAATTTTTTTATTTCAAAAAGATATTTTAATACTAAGATAAAGAACGAATAAAAGAAATATTGAAGGATGTATTTAAATCTGTCTACTATCATAATTCTTGCTCTTTACTTCCTCATTCAGTAGTGAAGTACTTCATTTAGTTAAACTAGCTTTTCGTTTCGTGCACGTTCTGATAGGTAAAAAGAAATATTTTTTTTCGTAGATGCTCGCATATTTTATTGCATATATTATAATGTTAACCTTATCTGTATTTACACATGCTCATATCTCCGCTTTGTAATATAAAACGAGAAATAAAAGTGTTCTTGACAAAGACAAAGCTTTGAAAAGTATGGTGTGATCAATATACGTATATAGGCATTAATTATCTACATGTATGTATTGCATTCTTTTCGCTTCTCACTTGCTGATGACTTCAAAGCTTTCCTTCTCTTCAAAACAAAAAAAAGTCAATTTTCTTCAGAAATTTCAAAATTTAGATAAATACGTGAGAAGATATCTCGTCGTCAAATCTTCCAAAAATAAGATAGTTCCCGTTCTAGTACTCCTTCTTCGTTGGAAAACTTTGATGGTTTCTGTAATTAACTATTAGAAAAATAGACTTTGTTTCGATAGAACAGAAAATATTTTTGACTTCTAAGTTTATAGTTTCTTAATTGTGCAAGCAATAATTCTCTATTTAGGCTCATCCAATAAATTTTATTTTATTTGAATGTATCTAAGCTGAAATCAATTTTTGAGGGAGAGGGAGATCTTAGAAGGATCTGTATCATTGCCGGCATCTTATATAAAACCAAGATAAATCAAATAAATTCTATATTTTCTCGTCAATTGCTCATATATGACTTCTATTTTCTTACCAAATAATGGGTCCATGAAAGGCGCACCCGGAACAGTTACTGTCGAGACACTTGCTCCCTGGACATTTGCTCTCGTGATATTTGATCTCCAAGGATACTTGCTCTCCAATATCAACTGTTAATCGACAAGATGATCTTCATTAATATGACGAGAATAAAATTACTGTTCTGTTTTCTTTTGTACTTTCTTTTAGTTACTTATTTAATATCATATATTGACAACAGAAGTAATTAATAGCTTCGGATAAAAGATAGACCAATAAATTATGCTTACCATGTTGACCGTATCCAACTTTTAATCAGTTGATTTCTTCAATAAATTCGAAACGTCCATAATTTCTTTTTTATCTTTTTGTTGTCTTCTATTATTACTGTGTTCAATAAATGAATTTAATTTATAAATTATTCTTGTAACTTGTAGAAAGTTTGTTTCATACTATTGAAGAGCAAATATCATAGGAGAACAAATGCCATTGGGGAGTGGGTGTCTTTAGCAAGCAAATATCCGGAGGGCTAATGTCGTTAGGGAGTAAGTGTCGGGAGAGCAAATGTCCGGAGAGCAACTGTGACGGATGCACCTTTCGCGATACCGCACACACATATATATATAGATCATTTCATTACAGTATACAAATCAATAAGAGTATAAATGGTATTTTTATGTGTTAACTATAGTCTTCTCTGATATCCAAATAATTGTTTCGCTTTTAGATTTTAATATGGGTCTGATGCAATACAATCGATATCGCTTTTTAGTTACTGGCGTCATAATTTGTTTTATAATCATTTTATATTATAATCGACAAAAGATACTACATAGATATGATATGAAACAAAATCAGTCTTCTTGCAGTATATCAATGATCGAAAGTGACCAGCTTTTATGTGAATCAGATGAAAGATGGCTAAAGAGACGAAAATTCTATTTGCAACAACATGAAAAAAATATCTTTACAATGAATGAATATAAAAATTATTTTTATAAAAACTGGTTTCCAGATTTTCAATGTGAGCATGAAATGCGTGTTGGTGAAGGCGATGGCGGCAAGTGGGTAAGATTTATACATTTTCAGCACTTATAAAACTGTGCCTGTAATAGGATGTATAACAGAGACCTAGTTGCTTTTTATTTTAGTGTTTTACTGTAGATTATAAGTATGACATTGTCCGAGAAATTTCCGTTGTTCTTTTAATTATCGAATTTTGGAAAAAAAGATACGTTGCCATGTGCATTAGTATGGAACAGAATACCTACCAATACTGAATATAATAACGATAGATTTATATTTAATCACATGAACAATTTACACATGTAATGCCTGCATATGAACTAAAACTACTAAGACGTTTTCATCAAAATATAGTTCCGAATAGGGAAATCGAAGTAACTCACACTTAGTTCTAGAGATATTTTATATTTTATTTGTTTACAAGGTCTAAATGATAATAAACTTCTATTCCAACACATTCATTACATATGATTTCTGTGTTGAGAGAAGTGTGGGCGCGGATCTGGGTCTGGGTCTAGTGAGCGTGTTGATGTTAGATGCAGAGAATTTCGGCGACTACACCCACACTCACCCTTTTGCTTATGTTCCATATTTTACAATAATTAATATGAAAATAGAAATTACAACGCTTTTCGTTTAATGTAGAATGAATTATGTCTTTTAAAGTTTATTAACTTCAATGTACTATTATATATAACAATTATAAATTTAATCAGATATCATACTTCAATATTAAATAAAATATTCTTCTAACTATATTTTTAGAATCTTAAGTGCAGTATCTGTTCTCTGTTGTATGCTGGAATATTTGATAAATATATTACCTGCAAAATTAATAATCTTTTTCATTTTAGGCATGTGATATAGAATATTTAAAAAAGAAACCCTCATGTCTTATATATTCACTGGGATCTCAAGGAGATTTCACTTTTGAACAAAGTGCACATAAACTTTTGCCTCAATGTTCTATTCATACAGTTGATATGCAGCTTTATACATGTCCGACAGGTATATGCACATTTCATCAAGCTAAATTAGGTAATGGTCGAAATGGCTCAACGTCATTACATCAACTTATGACTGAACTAAATCAAACAAATCATGAAATAGATATACTTAAAATCGATATAGAATATGGTGAATATGCATTTCTTCATACGTTATTTTCCAACAATGATGATACTAAACAATTACAACCTGTATATATTCGTCAAATTCTGATTGTAAGAAAAAAAAGTAGAAATCTTTTGATTTTATATTTAGTTATTTTTTATTTTTTAAATTAGGAAATTCATCTTGATCGTGATAAAATATACGAAACAAATTCTTTATTTTATTTATTAAATTCTCAAAATTATGTTATCTATCATAAAGAACTAAATCAAGGTTTTCCGTATTATGCTTGTGAATATGGACTTCTCAAATTAAATAGACTATTTTTTCGAGGACATTTGACATAATTCTTTGGCTTTTATATTTAGTTTGTTTCCAAAGAATTGTACTGAAATGTTTCAACATTATCTTATGATATAGTTAATTTTATATAAAATATTCTATATTTTTCCCTATACACAGTAAAAAAAAATTAAAGTTTGATGGTAATTATTATCGTTGTAACATACAATGAAACATTCCATGTTTTATGATCCAGAAAATGAAGATTAGTGTGATAAATACAGAGGAAATAATATATACTAAATGATTACTATTTAGTAATGAATTCATTGATTTATGTTCTGAGAAAACATTTCGCTTTCACAATAGTTATGTTTTAATCAAATCAAAACGTTTTGAGAATTGTCTCAGCTTAACATCTATTTCTGTTAGGATAAAATATGAATGTAGTTAGAAACCTATTGTTTTAAAAGTAGCGCTTATTGTTTTTTCATGACATTGATGTGGTTGATTCTTAATGGCAACATACTTTTTACTAGGTGTCCTTAGAATATAGCCAAAAGCACAAGTTTCTATTTAAAGTTACAATAATATGACATTCGAAACAATCTCATTAGAAACTGAATGTGAACTCTCAGTACATAGAAGTAAGAATGATAAGTTGATGACGTCAATGCAGATTTCTTTTTCTGTCTGTCTGTCAGAATGCATTTAAGGATGTATGATTGAATTAGACATTATATGAATATAACATTATATTGAAATCAATTGAAGTCGAGGTAGACTGTAAGTAGGCGTGTCAGGGTTAAGAATTCTTTTCGTTATATATATATATATATGTCCTTGATTATAATACAAAAGGTAAAAAACACGATTAATTATTGTCATAAGCTTCAGGGGCGATGCTGGATGATTACTTCAGTGCTATGGACGATCAAAATTTATTTTAAGTTTTAAATTATTTATCGCATCAGTCTTAACCATAAACAGCTGTTATCTATTAGATTATTACTATAACTACCGAATAAATTTCGTCATATTATTTTATGCGTTTAAGATTTAAAAATAGAATATAACTATTTTGTTTTTGTAGTAATCTTCTTTCCTTATAAAATTGAAACAATGTTAACAAATTATTTTTATGACGCAGATGACTAAAATAGTTTTCAATATTAGACGTTTTGTAATATATCTTTTACGCATTGTTTTTCTTTATTAGCATGAGCCTGTATGTAAGCATTTTTTTCAAACTAAAGAAAGAAAGAAAAACAAATCCGTTTTCAAAAGTTTTATTTTCGAAACAAAATAAAAAAAAGCAAAAGGAAAAGATGATAATAATAATCATATTAAAAGAAACAGAAACAGAAATCATCATGTAGGTCAATAAACTAATTTCGCAAGGTATTGTATATATATCTAAAAATATATATATAAAATCATTAGGAAAAATGCATAAGAGTCCGTATAATAGGTGGTACTTGATTTGGATCTACTTTTTCATGTAAATCTCTTTGAATATCACGAAGAAGTTCTTGAACAAGTAAACATTTACTGATCAATGTCGAAAATATAAGAACAGTTCGAGATGGTCCATACGACTTTTCCATAAATAACCATAACTGTTCAACATAAAAATTTTGTGCTTGAAATACTTCTTGAGAATTATTTAATAGTGGTTCACTGAAATTTATTATACCGGGAAGACCTTTTGAAAAAAGTATTATAATAAGTGCTAATTGTATGATTCGTTGATCTATTTGAACAATTGAATGTAATGAACGCATTATTGATGTACAACGCAGGTAAATATCATCACCATGTCCTTCACGAATATCAGCACCATATAGAAGATTTTCATGTGAAGGACTTCCTTCATGATAAATGTCATTGATTGGATCATATCTAACATAGAGAGAGAGAGAAAGAATAAAAATAATTATAGGTTTTTTTTTTGATTATAAATAATATACCCAAGAGATCCATGAAATATGAAAACATGAGATAAATTATTTTTTATAAGGTTGACTTTATCTATCTCATTGAGAGCATCAAATTCTGGTAATCTTTTGTAAAAACTAATAAGACGAAGTGCTGTTGTATTTTTTGTATTAAGTATCTGACATAAAGCGGTAATTTTTTTTGCTAATGGATATGACCAACCATAACTAATAGGATCTAATTTAAAACCAGCATCAAATGCTTCAACAACATTTACAATAGTATCATTTTTTTGATTGAATGATGTTGAATCTAATGATGCAGTTTTATTTTTATTTAGAACAAGACTTTTCAAATCTAAATTAAGATTTCCAGTTGAATTGAGTGTTTCTTTTGATGATAAAGGTTCATCGGTATTATTGACCAGGCGTAATCGTCTATTTTCTTCTATACGACGTTTTTTATTTAATTTTTCTTCTTCAGTTAATATCCATTCTTTACGCATACCAACTGCAAAACATTTTTTTAATCGACATGATTTACATCGACGTCGTGTTTCTAATGTTATATCACAAGACCCGTCACGTCGACATTTTAATCGATCCTAAATAATATAATTAATTAATTAATTAATTTAGAAAAAAACAAAATCAAATTCATTTTATTTACCATATTGAATAGAGCATTTCGTCGAAAAAATGCTTTACAAGATTCACATGAGATTGCATCAAAATTATATCCATGTGCCAAACCACAACAAACTATAATAAAATAATAAACTTCTTTTTTTATTTCTATCAAAACTCATTTTCATTTATTATATGACACTGTTTTATTTTTTCCATGACATTTTAAATTATAAATTACATCGAAGATATCAACGGAAAAATACTTCTCTTTTTTTAACGCTACAATTAACATTATTCAAAATATTTTTTAAACAATTATTGATATTTAAAAGAATAGAGAAAAGATCTGATTTCTTTTCGTTATTGATATAACTATAAATATTAGATTAAAAACCAAGAGAGAAATAATTTAAACGATATATTCTTATTATTTTTTTCAATAATAATAATAAATCCAATCTTAATCAATGAAAATATTGAAAATAATTTACCGACACAAGAAAGATCAGATTTTTTTCTCGATTGACCATTTACACTAGTTGTTTCAAAAGATGCTGACGAATCTGTTGTTGCATTGTTTTTGAACAACTCTTGTGAAGTACGAGATCGTCGTTTTCGATTGTGACATACTTCTGATGAAGACTATACTCGTATAAACGAAAAGAAAATACTAATAAGATTATATTATATTTATCTATTCATAGTACAAAGAAAAAAAGTCATAATAATGCCTCTTAGAAATATTGTACTTAAAATAGAAACTAAATCTTTGATATAGATTTTTGTTCATTATTTATTATCATTCATAGATGTTAAATATTTTGAACGTTAGAAAAAAAAATTCCATACCTGTGGTGGTAAATTGGAAATAATAGTTAATCTAGTATGACCATTTTGTTCAATTGTGTCAACATCTTTCGTATTTGTCACTTGTTTATTCTTCAATAATCTACTTTCATCATTTATATCGTTCAGATGTAATTGATTGACTGGTGGCAATGGACTTTTGATCCTTTTAGTCATTGGACCTAATCCATTGTCATCTTGATCATTACATTCTAAATCATCACGTTTACGATTCATTGCATATAAATACAAATCTATAACAAATAAATCGAAGTCAACGATCTGCTCATGTATATGTCTATAAATCACTGAGACATATTTTTAATGATTTGTAAAAATCTAATCATTCAGATAGAAAAAAAAGATATTTATACAGCTTATCATTGTATATATATATATTTTTTTTTTCGGTACATTCATTGGATAATATTTGCACTTATTTTGATGTGATAAATAGAAAATACAAAAATTTTTGTTTTAATACATCTACATATACAAACGTTTGTTTTTTCTATCTTAATTTTACTTATTCTCAACTGTTCTTACTTACGTTCTCTTCTTTATTCTTTATAGTGAAAGGTTGATGTTGTTTCTCTATAAATGTATGGACGCAGTCACACGCATACAAGGATACCTTCGTTGTTAGATGTACGAAGACAGCATAAAGAGAATGACGAAAAAAAAAGAGGAAAAAAGAAAAGAAAGAAAAAAACAAAACTAGTTACGAAACGACATCGAGAATAATAATAATCAAAGAAAAAAAATATTATCGAAGAACGTCAATAAAGGACTAAATTTACTAAGTGTACTGACAAGAATATCTCATATTTCTCGTAAAATTTTAACAATCTACAAGTTTAGATGTGTTATTATTAGAAACATGATTTATCGTGTTTTTCTTCTGATATGCCATATACACATATATATATAGATATATATATACAGACATAGATTTGTCGGAAAGAAAGAAGTATTTTTGTGCGATAGTACTTTGCGTACTATTGACGAATGGAAAAATAGCACGCAATATACTTCGAACTTAAAAATATATACTGAAATGTACTTTTCGGATAGAAGAAACAAAGAGTTCGAAGACATTCATGTATATATATATATATATATATGTGTGTGTGCGCGTATATGTAAATATTTATGTCGCAGTCCAATTCGAGAAATAAGAAAAATATAGAACGAATAAAATTACTGATAGTTATGTACGTATAAACATTAGTAAGAGTGGATTTCTTTCATTATATCGAATAACTATCGACACTCTCAAAATATTATTTTAATGAAACTTAGACTTTTGTGTATCGTTCATATGAGTTTTAAATTAATACTATAATAAATATAGTATATTATTAGCTACATATCGTGAGTAACTTTGGCATTAGGTTCTTTTGTCTATGGATACTAATAAAAAATACTCATGTATCGATCTTATATTAAAGCTAATGAGTAGAGATCAACGTGACATTGTGAAGTGCAGTAAAATAGAAGGAGATATTTTGCTGAATAGAAAGAAAAGAAAAGAGAAGCAAAAAAAAATGATATATAGACGCTTTTGCCCTTACTGACGATAGGCAAATAAGAAAGAAAGAAAGAAGAGAACAATAATAGTAACTAAAGAAAAAAAAAGCCGTTTTTTTCTTTTCTTCTTGAAGAATGTTCTCCTTATATTTGGTTTTACTGAATAGAAATTTTTTTTACACATATAATAATATATTAAAAATAGGTTTTTTTCCTCGCTACTTCTAGATATTAACATATTTTATCTATTTTTATCATAAAACTACTTGTAATTATCTTTTATTTATTATGCTAAAGAGAACAATTTTACTTAGTGCTCCATAAATCTCTCTATCTAAGTGTGAAGTTTATTTTATGTAATATTAAGTACAAAAAAAAGGCAAAAACTTATAAATTTTTTTCTTTCTGACAAAATCACATTTCTAATGATGAAAAACAAGAATTAAATCAAGTACATTTTTTGAAAATCATAAGAATATAATCTGACTATAACAGAAAATGATTCATAATTGTATCATATTCTGTAAGTCGTAGAGCTGAATAAAAATCTATGACGCACTTCTCAACTAATAATTAATTTGTCTATTGTACTATTCGATATGATAAAAATGTCTACCTAAAGGCATTTTACTCCTACCGTTCTACATAAGATAAAGATAAATAAAATACTTGTGTCGTGTGACATGTGTGTGTGTGTGTTTATATAATAATTCATTTAATACATCTTAGAATGCTTAAAGAAAATAAAACGATTTTCTTTATTTAATCAGCTTAATTTACTTGACAGTATACAAAAAATATTTCGATTTAACTTCTTTTTTTTTATAAACTTATATTTACTATGAACATAGTATTAACATTGATATATGAAAATGACGACAACATGTTTAACACTTTCTTCGTCATACAATAATATATTTTTATTTCTTTTCACACTGCCTTAATAGTAAACTCAATGAACTTTATTCAGTGCATTCTTTTTCTTACATAACATGGCAAATATGAATGAAAGTCAATATAAATAAAGAAAACAGAAAATTATTTTTGTCATTTAAACCATGACCAGATATAACCAAGGATAATATTTTATTTTCTAGTTATTAAATAACAAAACTGTCAAATAATAAATACGGCTTCTCATTTCATCGTTCATGTTATTATCCCTGTACCTAAAACAGATTTCTCTATTATTAAATAAAATGTTAAATAAAATGTAAAAAACGTTCAACTAAAACATGAACCTTTATTTAATATATAATTAAAAAGTAGGCCATTCGTTCTAAACACTGCACGTACTTTTTTCCATTAGTGACTTTATATATTCTTTGACTTCAAAGTTTTTTTTCTTTTAGTGTAGTTTTAAATAGATGAAATAAGATCATTTATATTTATACTTAATAATTCTTCGGTTAAATGAATATTTTGTCCTACATAATTGTTACTAGTATAAAAGTACATTTTATACATCAATGTTGAACAAGATAATCAATATCGGTTTAATAAGGATTAAAAACTATATTATTTACATAAATTTCTATAAATAAAATACTTATGAAAACAAAATTCATCTCTTAAGGGCAAACAGAAAAAACTCCTTCGCAAATCATAGAAAATTGTTTTTCTTTTAAATATTTTGTACTCCGTGTCATATGGTTTTTGTATAAAACTAAGTATACATTATTATAGAATATTTTTTTTGACGTTGCTAATTCTGAGGGTGGGTATGAGTATTCTATTGATTCCATATTCGCACTAACCCTTGATCACATCCTCATTTCACATACAAATCGAAAACATTTATTTAGTTCTCTTTTATTATAGAAGAAAAAAAGAAATGAAAAAGGAACAAGCGAAAAAACAACAAAAAAAATTAACAACGAATAAAAGCATTAGTCTCTCAATGGGTACTCGTTTTTTGTAAAATCACAAAGAATGTTGATGACTTGTTCAAAATCAACTTTTTGTTCACCTGTACCCGCACAGCCAGCTGCTTGTATTAAGGATTGTCTGTCTTGGTAATATTTCGATTGTGCCGATAGATGTAGGAATTGAAATCGTGCAGCTTTCAGTTCATTAGGTACGTCGGCCATATGAAATCCATCGTACCACCCATCCCAGGTGCACCAATCCCATATTCGGATCCGATCGGATCCTATGGCGGATTCTATCGGAATCCGACGATCCGACAAAATCCTATAGGATTCCTGGTGACGGAATCACTTCGGATTCCGTTATGGTCGGATCCAACATCGGATCTCACAATTTCCAACAAACGGATCTAGACGGATCCGATAGGTGACCATCAGGCCATCATAGAAAATAGCTAAAAACGCCGCTCATCAAATTTGCAGCAAGTGACTGAAAATTTCCCGTACGGAATCCAATGGAAATCCGTCACCAGGAATCCTGTCGGATTCTGTCAGATGATCGGATCCTATAAGATCCGATCGGATCCAACGTTGGATTGGTTGACCTGGGATGTTTTTGTAAATAAACAATAAAATCGTTCAACCGTTTGTTTTCTTCGGCTTCCATTGGCTCAATGCATTTATTTAAAACTTGAGCGAATGTTAATGATCTTGCTCGAATTTTCCATTTTTTGATTCGGGATGCGATACTTTATATCGATCTTGAAAAACGTGATTGATCACTACTTGGTTCAATTTAAAGGCAACTTCCTCGAACAGTAATTTATACATGTTTAATTTTTCTTCAATCTTTTTTTGTTGTCTATAGTAGTTTTGCTAAATTAATTTTTTCTTGTGTTTGTTTCTGTTTTGTTTCTTCTTCTGATTGTCTTTTAATCAATGCAAGATCACGTTGTATATCTGTAATTCTGCTTTAATTTCAATATCATTCTTTTTCAGAATGTTCAATTGAACCTTCAAATTGTATACTTCACTTTCTAATATGATTTTGTCCTTGTATAACCTGTCTCTGTATTATGACCATTTTATTCGATGATAACATCTACCAAGGTCGAACAATCCGGCCTGGAAACGGTCGGTTCCAGACAACTCCGGTGAATGGATCCGCTCACAGGATTTGTCCAGTTTCGGACGAAATTGACAAGAACTTGGCGAAAATGGCAGGCGGATACGGCCATCGAATTTCTGACAGTTACCTGCTCGTTCCAACCAGAAACGGCATGTTTCCAGCAGATTTCGGCCGAAAATTCACGAAATATTGCTTCAAAAATCATCGTCCAGGATATGTGAAATACTGATGCCATATCTACAAATATTTTTTTTGTTGTAGAAACTGTTCATACTCTTCCTTTTTTAATTAATTATAGAAACAAAATGATGTAAGCTTTCTAATGCATGGCATTCTTCATCAGACTAAGTTAACTATACAATTTTATACATATTTATACATGTATATTTCTTCTTTTTTCTCTCTTCTTTAATAGTAATACAGGAGACAAGACGGTAAAGTAACTAGGCAAGTATGTAAACTTCTCCTGTATCGCTATTAAAGATTAAAGAAAAGAGAAAAAAGAAGAAATATACATATATATATAAATATGTATAAAATTGTATAGTTAACTTAGTCTGATGAAGAATGCCATGCATTCGAAAGCTTACAATTATTTTGTTTTTATAATTAATTAATAAAGGAAGAGTATGAAAAATATCTACAAAGACTCAATAATTTTTAATATTAGAAGAGATAGAAAATTTAATTTAAAATTTATTAGCATTTTGGTTAACAAAAAATAAAAGATAATAATAAGTAGTTGTCTTCAACTTTCGTAAAGATAGTGTAAAAAGTATTATCTTCACTGCTTTAACCTAAGCAGAAAAAGTTGGTTACATATAGAAATGAAAATTGTCTGACATTATTATTACATGCTAATGAGTTATTCTCGAATTTGTGAAGGGCGACTACAAATTTCATGGTAAAATTTGACTCAGAAATGAGACATGTAGGTTTGTAGAGAAAAACTTTCTCTACCGAATGTTATATTTACAATCGAATTCTGCTGTGTATCGTAAAAATTGATTTTTCGCTTGAATTCAAGCCAATTAAAGACATACATCCAACTTTCTTCTGCGTCCGTGAACCTCAATAGAACATTGATTTGAACCCTGAAAATACATTACTTTTTAGAGTAAATATCAGAGAACAAAACCTTTGCTTCAAAAAAAGTTTAATGTAAAAAATGAATTATAGGGAAGCGATTTAGTTGACTTCGATACAGGCCTCTATTTGATCTGAATTCAAGCCACAAATCGATTTTTACGGTACTCAATAGAATTCAATAGTATGTATACCATTCGATAGAGAAAAATTTTCTCTACAAATCTACATATCTCGCATTTCTGGGTCAAGAATCTGTAGTTGCCTCTGATAAAAGAATGTTTTATTTAGAATGTTACTATTGAAAAGATCAGTATATCATATAATAATTTTATATAGTTAAGTTATTCATTGTATATTATATCTTTTTTTTTCGTTTGATATTGAACATAAATACAGGTGTTACATACAAAGAAGATCTATGTTTATACAAGTACATTAAATATTTACTATTGCTATTCAAAATCTGAAAGTATATTTCACAGATCAGTTCACAAATGTGTCATAAGATAATATGTGATAGTTTTCAGAAATAAATTTTAGTCAAATATAAGCTACTTTTAAGAGATAACACAAACATACTGATTATTAAAAAGATGAACTTTGATTCAACATAAAATTTCAAAATGTACACGATCAACTTATTTTCTGTATTAATAATGTCTTCAACACAGATAAATAGAAGTCTTGTCGAATAACTTCAAATTTTCATTTTCAAAATTGAATGATATTGAAATGCCTTTAATAGATTTTTCTGATTTATATCCAGATACGTGTTAATGCTTTGTGTAAGACGAATAAGTATTTGTGAAACTGACAAGTAAAAATAAATATGTGAATGTCTATCGCAGAAGATTGTAACATAATTAAGAAGATGTAAAGCTTTATAAAAGTTTACTCTTGATCATTATCCAATAGCAAGTAGGTGAGACTGATCAGTTAGTTGATTGCATTATAGTTTATTTATTTATTTTAAACATCTGATTAGTACAGAAACAAATAACACGTAAAGGAAGATCATTTCATGAATTTTATTCATTTGAATGTGCATATTTGTTGATCTTTCATGTTTCTGATAACATTATATTAGTCATAGAACATACATACGTGTAGTCGTTGACTCACGAAAATAAAATGAAGTTAAAAAAAAACAATTGAAAATGTATGTAATAATTAAATGTTTCTTTTTCCTCATTGTTCCAACAGAAAATCTTTATTAAAATTTTTATTATTATTCTAGTATTCTTATCATATTATTCAATAATCATTTGTCTCGAAATAAAAATAATTGCAAATTTCTATCATTCTGTAATAATGACTGAAAAAAAACAAACCTCTATCTAGAGATCTTCTGTAAAGACAAATATTTTAGCAACTATTTCTTACAGATTATTTTTTTGAATTGTCAATAATGGCCATACTTTAACGTCCTTTCCGTTTGTCGGTAACTGATAAATATCTCTGATAATACATGTAACATTTTGTGACGTATATTCATCAAGTATGAAAAAACCAAGTGAAATACTAATAATAGAGAAAACAATGTAAATGATGATAAAAAGAACAATCTCGAAAGAAAATTCTTATACTATAAAATGATACATTTTTCTCATTCATTTATAAACATTTGTTCTTGAATTAGTCTACATTACAACAGACAATGGCAAACAACAAATCAACAGCATCTGTTCAAACCAATACCCAAGCTAATGCTAAACACGTATCAAACTTTTCCAAGGATGCAGTTGAAAATCGATGTATTAACATGCAAAGAGTGCAAAATCTTCTCCTTATTTGGTTGCACAACAATATTCATAACAATAATGTTGATTGTAATAATACAATCAAACAATTAAAACGTGTAGTTAACAACGTAAATACGTTTACTGATGGTAATCAATGTATTGAATTTATTCAAACCATTACCAAGAACAAAATATGTATGATTGTGTCTGATTCACTTGGTAAACATATTATGCCTCACATACATGATATGTATCAAGTAGAGACCATTTTCATTTTTTCTAACCACCGACGATGGCGAAAACGATCGGCTAAACAATGGTCTAAAATAAAAGGAATCTTCACAGATATAACATCAGTTTGTGAAGCTCTTAAACAAGTTGCTTACCAATGTGAGCAAAATTCCACCTCAATTAGCTTTGTAGCATCAACCAAAAACTTGGATGACTTGGATCCAGCCTTTATGTATACTCAGATCTTGAAAGAGATCTTATTAACCATCAACTTCGAAGACAAAAATTTGAAAGAATTTATTACTTATTGTCGTGATGTATATGATGATGATGAAAATGAATTAAAAAATGTTCATGAATTACAAACAACATACAAATACAACATACCTATATGGTGGTATACATGGGATGCATTTTTATATCGTATGCTTAATTGTGCATTAAGATCAATGAATTTTGATATTATTGTTCGAATGGGCTTCTTTATTTATGATCTACATCGTGATATTCAACGACTCCATTCGGAACAATTTGATGGCGATCAATCAGGCCAAATATTTACAGTTTATCGTGGACAAGGCCTTTCGAAAGACGATTTCACTAAAATGACAAATACTAAAGGTGGATTTCTTTCCTTTAATAACTTTTTATCAACTAGTAAAAATCATGATGTTTCGCTTAATCTCGCGCAACAAGCAGCTACAAATCCTGATCTTGTTGGAATTCTATTTGTTATGTCCATTAATCCTACAGATTTAATAATTCCATTTGCTTCCGTTACAGATGTTAGTTATTTTCATATGGAAGATGAAGTTCTCTTCTCTATACATACTATTTTTCGCGTTGAAGATATTAAACCAATGGATGGAAACAAGCATCTGTATCAAGTAAAATTAACATTGACCAGCGACAACGACCAAGATCTTCGTACTCTTGCTCATCGTGTACGACAAGAGACCTTCCCAAGTTCGATAGGATGGTATAGATTAGGATTACTGCTAGAGAAAATGGGTCAGTTCAGTAAAGCTCAAGAATTTTATGAAGTTTTACTTCATCAAACAACGTATGAAAGTGACAAGGCACCTATTTATATTCGACTAGGTCAGATCAAATATAATCAAGGAGAATATCAAGAAGCACTTACATATTATGAAAAAACGCTTCTTTCTAATCATTCTGATTTGGATGTTTCCTATAATAACATCGGTTTGGTATATTACAACATGAGTGATTATCCAAAAGCACTTTTATTTCATGAAAAAGCTCTTACAATTCGACAACAATCACTTCCTTCCAATCATCCTGATTTAGCTTCTTCCTACAAAGATACCGCTAACGTGTACTGCAGTATGGCTGATTATCCGAAAGCACTTTCTTATTATGAGAAAGCTCTTGCAATTCGAGAACAATCGCTTCCTCCCAATCATCCCGACTTGGCTTCTTCCTACATGGACATCGGTATTGTGTATTACAGTATGGGTGATTATCCAAAAGCACTTTTATTTCATAAAAAAGCCCTTATAATTCGAGAACAATCACTTCCTTTCGATCATCCTGATTTGGCTACTTCCTGCATAAATACCGCTAACGTGTACTACAGTATGGCTGATTATCCGAAAGCACTCTCTTATTATGAAAAATCTCTTGAAATTCGACAGCAATCACTTGCTCCCAATCATCCTGATTTGGCTTCTTCCTATAATAACATCGGTTTGATATATTACTACAGGAATGATTATTCAAAAGCAT